TATTTATCGTACAGTAATTGTACAGTTATTACGTTTAGTAACATTTATAAAATCTGAATAATTATTCCCCTTGAGTTTACTAATAGGGTTGTTGACCAAATTTCAAAAAGTATATAATATAATTCTACACGTACTAACTAGTGTGTATGCACAGTTAGAGATTGAGAAATGCTTCAAAACAGTTTTAAAATAATTATTTAAAACTGATTTTTTTATAATATTTCAAAACGGCTGTGATGTCATAAGGGGCTTCTTGTAATGAAATTATGTGTAAATGATTGCGTAAAGGAAAAAAATTAGACGAAGAAGACGCTGTGTCATCACTGTCAGTAGTGTCAGTTTGTCAGTGACACTAGGCTTTTTTTCGCGACTGAATATTGGTGAATATCTGACTTGTAGTTAATATTTTCATCTCTTTTGATCTTAGTTTCCGTGTGGTAGTTTAAATCTCTTCATTCACTCGTACTACACATACTACTATATACGACTTCACTTGCGAAAAAAAAGCCTACTGTCGCATAAAATATTTTCGAGTCTACCAGTTATTTTCCTTAATTTTCGATTATTAAGTAAAATTATTATTTAGTAATACCTAATCATTTAATATCTTCCCTTAGAATTAAAGCAGAATGTGTAAAACGGGATTTGTGAAAGCTACTTCGCATATTTTACCGAAAATTGTTCAATAGCCCCTTATAACGTCAGACTAGTTTTAAAGTAACGCAAAAATTCATAAATGATTTCTACCACTAATTTGTCATATATTTAAAATTTTACTATACAAGCAGGTTCTTTTATACAAAATCTTTGTATCAACAACAATTTGTATATGGTTTGTTTTTATAGTCAACAACCCTATTGTATCACATTTTTCTCAAAATGATTTGACCGTTCCATTTCAGTCACCGGAGGCTCAATATTAGAATCTGATTCATTAAAATAGCATGATGCGACGTACTACTATAACCTGGAGTTGAAGTGTCATTGTAAAGAATCCTATTGGCTATTTCATTTTTGTTATTTAACCTGTCAGCACCAGAACTTTTTGCAATTGTGGCTGATTTCCATCCACCATGTCTCTTGATCGCTAATACATCAACTCCTGTATTAGCCAGTAACGTTGCCGATGTTCTTCGGAATGCATGGTCTGTATATGTTTCAGCATCTAGTTTCAAAAACTGTGGAAACAGTCACAAACTCGTTTAAAGTTCTAGATTTCTCCATGAAATATGTTAGCAGTGACATTTCAGAAACACCAGTATTTTTGTTCTGGCACTATTCTTTGAAATTTCTATATTCAAAACCAGCAAAATTGCAACTTTCATGTAGTTTTGTTTATAAACACCTTAGAAACGACAAAATCCAAACAACCAAGGCGACTTTGCAGGATTTCGAATAATGTCAAACTGAATTGATTAAGAAATGTCAAAAAATAAAACCTAATATTTATTTCATGAACCATAAAGAACTGTGAGAGCATAATATAAAATGTTATACACCTCGCAGCAGTTAAGTGTGATTTACCCCCCTTTATGGTGTACATAACTATTGTGTATGATGTTTCTACAAATTAGTACATTTTTATAATTTTATTGTTCGTCTCACACGGGACAAATACCACGCAAAATTGAGCATTCCTTATACAATGGCTCCTCAAAAGGCGATAATATCTTTATACATGATATATGAGATCAATAAAATTTGCAGTGTTCAAAGAAAGAAAGGGTTCTCGCTTGCTGCAAGTACATCTATGTAGAATATACATTGTTTCTGTATGTCTTAAATATTTCATATCGCTCCGTAATATTTATTTGAACAGCAATGTTTACAACAGCTCTTTCCGCATGAAGGGATGAGATCCTCAGGGAGTTATGAGCTCGGTAAACATACGAGGCAGAGATGCAAGTACTTCACATGCTGTATTCTTTAAACAAACATGTTCCCTTTCGCAAACAGAAGATACAATTAAACGTTTTCCAAATTACGTTTCGGTACGGTTCAACGCTGCATTTAGCAGTAACTAACCTCCCCCGATAATGGGAAGGAACAAAGCGAGCGGCTAACGATTATAGTACATGCCGAAACTTAATCGAACTTATTTGTCGGCAGCTCCGACTTCCAATATGTGCTGTTATGGGCCGAGTTCGACGCTGCATGTATTTTATGGCCTCAATAAAAACCTGCCTAGTTGATGTTTTCGCGTAGTCGACGCCGGATCGAAAAGTTTTCCGCCCTGCCCTCTTTGCGACACCTTATTTTAGACGTTTTATGATCCTGCGGATCGTGAAAATTTTGCTAACAGTTCGCACGCTATCGATCGCTTCGAGATTCGCTTTCGCGTACGCTGCTCGACGTTGAGAGGTACAGAAAACATCACAATATAACCGTACTGGAATATAGAACAAATAAATAGAAAAAAGTTAATTAAATGATGGGTATGGAAAATGCCAAGCGGCAGAAACCAAATTCACGGAAGTAAAACACAGACAGTTTAAATTAACTAAAAACTTCTTGCATTAGTAAAATTAATTGATAATTTTTTTTCACATAAAAATGTTAAGTAAGCAATATTTTCTTCATTATAGAGCAAGCAAACTACTCGTATAGTACCTATTCTTTATAGACTACAAGCCCATCGGAAATTTTCAAGGGGTCATTTGACCTAGCATGATTTACTTATAAATCGATACTACCACATATAACAATAACTTTAGAAACTGTGCCGTCAATTCTTGTTGGTACATGTGAGTATACGGCAAAACATTTTTGTACGGCATTTCTAAAGTATATAGGTTATACAAAAAAAAATTAACCTCGACCTAACGCCGTACAAAAATAGCAATATCGAAAGCCGAAATTTTTGATTTTCCGAAAATTTTGGCCCTAGTTTTGATGATTTATTACAGTACGTTATTTATACTGCTTTATACTTTTTTAAGCGACGCCGTACGTACTTGCTGATACAGGGGTTAGGAATACAGGGTGCAACCCTCTATTTGTAAGTAGCGTATGTGGGTGATTTGAACCAACATCAAATTCACTCATTTTAATTTCTATTTTATAAAATAATGACATTTTTGGCCATACCGTACATTTTTCATGAAACATGTTCTTACTATAGGAAAATTAATTTCCCTCTGAATAGTAGGCATGCGGCATTTTGTTAATACTGACAAAAATAATCAACAAAAACAAAATGCCGTACAAAAAAAAATTGCTTTGAAATATATTTTTGCAAATAAGTATTACTTGCAAGAATTGATTTTATTTTTACTACTATTTTCTCCTTAATACGAATTATTTACTTTCTATAATAAGACTTACAATATTTGTCGATACAGGAGTGAGAAACCTCGGATGCAAACCCCTATTCTGACCCGTATGGTTCCCGATCATTGAAAAATGGTCGGCATTGTTGCTAAAACATTATTTAACATGTAAAATAATGTTTAAGTAATATGCCGTTAAAAAACCCTAGGATGATTTTAATATTATTAATTTTATAAATTTGAAAAGCTTATATATTAATTTTTTTTTCAAGTACATAAGTAAAATTTTTTCAAAATTCAAAAAATTATTAAAAAATCAATAAAAAAATCTGGATTCGAATATTTTCTTAAAAATTTGGAATTATTTGTCTTTTAAAATTATAATTACCGCTTCGAGATTCTAGCTGGCCATCGAAACATCTCTCTCTTTTTTCTTTTCTGCGTGTAAATTTTTATGTGGTTTTATTCATGCTTATAACCGACAATCCTGTTGTTGTAAAAAATGCACTTTGAAATTATTTTTACTAATTTTGAACATATATTGTATGCCAATGGTTTCATCACAATTTTTGTATAAATAAATTGTTCAAACAATTGTAACAGTAGTTACAAATATGCCGATGCGAGGGTACTGTTACTTCAAAACATATATTATATCACTAAAAATGTAGTACCTAAAAATTTAATGAAAAATATTATCAGCTATGTAAAATCGGCATTGGTTATTTTTATTTTTTTACTTATGAAAAGTCAATTACAGCCATAATATTTTGAATATAACATTTTTAGTTCATAACGAGGAATTTTCACAATATATTTATTTGTTAATTCGAATTTTTAATTTGTACCATGAATTATATATAACCGGCTATGATTTAGTACGATAGTGTGTGGTTATATTTTATCAAAATAGTGGTTGCCGTACAGGAATGATCTTATCGAAAAAAAAATAAAGCTCAATTCCAAAATACAAGTAATTGTTTATAAACTTTTGCATTAACCATAATTTTCAGATGGCATAGTTACTAAGAATTATTTGGAGAGTTAAATAATCATGTGGAATCGATGCCGTAAATTTTCCAGTTACTTGAAACAATGGGGGCTAAAATAGAGGGTTGCGCCTTGCATTTCTGACCCCTGTATCAGCAGATACGTATACGGCGTCACTAAAAAAGTTACCTAATTATCAATGCGAAACTTGCAGTATAAAATGCCGTACTGTAGTAAATCACCAAAAACCGGGCCAAAATTTTCAGAAAATCAAAAATTTCCCTGGCTTTCGGTATTTTTGCTATTTTTGTACGGCATTAGATCGAGGTTCATTTTTTTATATAACCTATATACTTTAGAAATGCCGTATAAAAATGTTTCGCCGAAAACCACCCCGCCTGGTGGACAGGTTTAGCTTACCTGTGTACTCACCTGTACCAACAAGAATTGACGGCATAGTTTCTAAAGTTGTATGTGGTAGTATTGATTTATAAGTAACTCATGCTGGGTCAAATGACCCCTTGAAAATTTCCGATGGGCTTGTAGTCTGTTAGTACATATTGGTGTATAATAACAAAAAGCAGGAACATTCGAAACATTAGTAAAATTTTCGAAAGTGACGAATTTATTGTGGGTACAGTCAGTTTAACGTTTTTTATTTATTTTTATATGTCAACTGATAAATCATGAACCATTTTATAGTTCAAATCAATACACAAGTACAAAATCTACGATACTCACAATCCACCTGAGCATTATACCCGTTCTTCATCTAGCACACACGGATGCCATCCCACTGGCAATAGCACTTTTGCTGTTTATGCGCGGGATGACGCCCCCTAAGAGTTGGATAAGGCACATTTTCGGCACATTATTTCACGCTCACTGTACTGTGCAAACAAACGGGTCACATTTTTACACAATTCGCTTCAACTTCTTGGCACTTGCCGGGACGACGCTCACCACTTCGGTTTAATGTAGCAAACTGCGCGACATAAGTTAGGGACGCGGGCTCTTTAATAACGAAAAGGAAATTACCACACGGAAAATGTAATAAATAAAGGTGACACAACTGATTTAACGCGTGCAGCTGTTGGTTACGTCCAACTTAAACAACAGCCGTAAATATGGAGGTAATTTCCTTTGAGGGATATTCTACAAACGAAAACTTCTGCTGGTGTACGTATAGTCGGGCAGCTTTTTCGGGAAGGGGGTTCATTTAGGAAAAAACGGATCATTCGAAACCGGTGAATATTTATGAATGGAAAGCATAAAAATATCGTTACCTACTCGAGGATGGGATAAAAAAGATACGTCAGTTAGCTTCCGTTGACAAATCTAAAGCTTATACAGACGTCTCCCAGGGATGATCGTCTCGCAAGTCTTCGGGATGAATGAAATGTTTCGTTCGTTAATGGTTCCCGATACAATCTGTCAGAAAACATAATGGAATACTTACTCCCGAATCCTGCGTATCGTTCAGAGGGAATTCGACAAGTTGTGAACTGAATAGTTCTGAAATATTCGACATAACAAAGAAAATGTCATTTTAAAGTTGTATAGTTGCCACCTCTATATACAAGGTGTAAGTTTAAATCGGGATCAGTTTTTTTAGTGGTAATAGAAAATGTATAGGTACTATGACCAAACTATTAATGATTCACGGACTATAAAAAAAAATCTATTTTCATGACAGGATGTATAGAAGTTGTCGAAGGAAACATGCACGTAATTTTCATTTGTCTTAATTAAAATACTTTCGTTCCGTGCGACCAAGGCAATAATAGTAAACCTCTGAGCTTTGCATTTTTTCACTAGCTTTTCAATTTTAAAATTATAATGCAAATCTCTCTGTGGCAGGCTGCCAGCCCGAGGCTCTCTTAAAACTCGCTGTCGTATAAATTTTTGAGCTGCTTAAAATAGACCCGAAGAATTAAGCTGTCCTTTTGCGTGTCACGTCGTCAACAGCGGAGGGGTATTTTTAAAAGAGAGAACAACCTGTTGGGGAACAACGAATTCTCGGTGTTCTGGTTAAACTTCCACTTGTAAGAAATGAGGAATTTCAGCAACGAACAAATTGTTTATGAATCTAGTGTCTTTTTTTATTAAACCATTGTTATTTTTTGGCTTATAAATATCCTATTGTCATCCAAATATTATCGGAATGACTGAAGCATCTCTAACTGGCGACACTAACCCATGCCCGATATCAATTAGCGATATTATTTTACAGGTTAATGCATTTAATCCCCCCTCCCAAAACGTAACATTCGCTGGCTGGGGAATTAAATTAATAAATTTGCATGGGGGGGGGGGCGGTCGCGAGTAATTGCGAAATTTGAAATTACAATTTATTGCGCGGAATTTCATTAAAATCGAATTTATGAAAACATGGGAATTAATCATTCGATGATTAACCCGTCGCGGCGCAAGAATAACATTTTCAATTTATAACGCCATTGCCGAATATAACCGATATTTTCGGCGTTAGGCTTAGAAAAACATTTCCCGAGTAAAACAGCTACGGTTGAAATTAGTCCAGTAAGGCAGGGGTTTAAAAGTAGTGATTTCCCATAAACTTCCGACATTTTTTCAGAACTAGGCTAAAGACTGTTGAAGAATAACACTAAAATGCACAAGCGCCACATAGAAAAATGTTATTAACAATTTACGTCCCTAAAAGTGTTTTTTTTATTTGTTTTTCTTCAATGTTTCAGTTGGATCGAAAATGCAAGAGATTATTTTTGTTTTACATGAAATTTCCTACAAGATGGCACCACTCCAATTATTTTATTGCAAAAATAATTTAACAATAAAAAAATGGCAAAAAAACAATATTTTTCTTAAAATTGTTGTCAATTTTCTAAAAATTAATGAAACTGTTTTAATAAACGGTAAAAGAAATCCTTCAGTTTCTAAACATCAACACGCACCATCACTTTTATCTGTTCATATCAGCAGACAAAACTATGTGTATGCCCTGCTAATTGATAAAATGAGCGGGGACTGTGTAGTGTATGGGGACTAAATTCTACATTTTCAGTTCATGCGGTTTTGGCGTAGAAAACAATCAAAAGCTAACTCTTTTAATTTATTTTTGGAAGAAATTTTCCCCTTATTTAGTTAGTTGTTAGACACCAAACGGTGCTAATGCAATCTTTTCATTGATTTAAAATAACTTTGTGAGCACTAAGAAAAAGCAGGTGCTCTGTAATCGACACGAATAGAATGAAGAAATGACGCTTTGAAGTCGTTTATGACATAGCCAGTAAAACTTTTTAGTGGCGCTTTTATTAAGCAATGGACCAAGAAAAAACTCCATTATCCCAGGGTCACAGGTACTAAAAGTTCCTTTACCACTTCAAAAATAAATTTCGTTTATTTGCCTGTCATAGTTGCTGTTAATTGAATTGTTAATAGTTGAATACAAGTGTAAAACGTAATTCTTTGACGGCTTGAGAATTATAATAATGACTTTTTACACGTGTGCCCTTGCAAAGGTTTATTTTTCAATCGTGGATACGACAAATGGTCAATTTTTCATGAATATTTACAATTATACGAGTATTGATATATAAGAGTTGCCGATACTAGGTTTCCTAAATTTTGTACTTTAAATTGAGATAACTCTTGCTTCCGACAGGAGCTTCACGAAGAAATCTGTTAACTTGCTTGCGTGCTAACAGTGCTTTCAATTCGAAATATTTGGTTATAGTCATGATAAATGCTAAGAGTACTTCGAAATGTTACAATTGTTTGTATAACTGTATATTGATTTAAAATGGCAACAACATTTTCTAAAATTATAGGCGTTACTATTTTTCTCTAGATAGAAAGGTAAAAAGGATGGGGAGTATTATGTGAACGACCTTGTACATAGTGTTAAAAATGAGTAATGAATAAAATACTAATTTTTTACACTGGAAATGATGTAAAAAAAACTTTCACATTTGACAAGGAACGAAAGAGTAGTACAATTTTAAAAATTGAAATAGAAAATACAGAAATGGAAAAAATTAAATGTTATCATATTATTAAGAGACATAAATATCGTGTACGTGTTATATTTCCGTTTTGATTTACGTAGAATCTCTATAAAAACGAAAATAGATGCCGCATAATAATAAGAGTCGGTTGAATGAAAAAATAAAACATAATAAAATGTGACAGTTGTCACACGAGATATTTTCATTTATTTCTATGGCAACCATTTTAATTTTAGCCTTGGTATTAACAGTTACACGATACGTTAAGGTATTTTTAAAATAGAAACTTAAAGATTTAGATTTAATTGACAGCCGAAGAAAAAATTACGAGTTATTTTTCACGTGTCCTCCAAAGATACACAGGTCTTTAATTGCCGCTTGTGACGCAAACAAAAAAAATACGAGAATATTGGTATTGGTGGAAAAAAATAAGTAAAACAGTTAAAATTTTTGAAGTAACGACATTTACGCTCCCCCATACTAAATCACGACACGTCAAAAGTGAAAATCGTTACGACGAAATCGCGGCAAATCAAAATCCTCAGCCCCCGTCACGAAGAGCGTGTAGTACACACGACTAACAACCCACTGCGTCACACACCTTCCTCTGGGGACCATTTAGCGGCGGCGATGATTATCGGGAATGCATAATAACTGGCACTCTGAAAACTATGCGGGACGACATCACGCAATAGGCACATCACGCATCGGCCACCGCCGGTATGCTTTTTTAGACGCGGCTGCACGCGCGACGCCGTTTCGACTGGTTGCTATTCAGCGTAATTGCCGTCGCGACGCTACCTACAACTCCCACCTGACTAATTCGCGCGACGGATCGTGTGTCCCAGTCCCATCATTCCGACCGGTTTGCATATTAACCGATTATTTTTTTATTTCCTCGCTTCATTCTCGACTATACTGGTTTGCAATTTCGGAGATATTACTTGAAAGCAGAGTTGGGCAGGAAAAATGGATTCGAGAGATTCTGAATGGGAGATATTGCCGTATCCCATTCCCTTGGCATTTCGGGTATTCGAGCCCCACGTTGGGCGCCATGTCGTACTACTCCATCATTAACTTGAGAATTACCCCTAATATGGGGAGAACTGGCATTTTTACCAAGATACCCATTCGTCTCAATACCACAATTGTAAATATTTCTGATTTATTGATAACAGTACACTGAAAGAAATGCGCATTATTCTTTATTAGAATTATATATGCCATTATAAGACCATTGTAGGTATACTATATGTGACAGTTAAACAAGTGAATATTGGATATAAAACGCGTACTGCTAGAACAGTTGTATAGTGACTATAAACCTTATTCTTTATTAAATTATTGTATAACTAGTATACAACGTTTTTTATACCCTTTACGAAATAATAGCAGTAACTAGTTCTATATCGTTATTAGAACATCTAGTACTGGTTATAAGTTTTATAATAATAAATGTATTAAACTGTTGTATACTCTGTATGAGTTAAAAACATATGTCATTAAGTTTTCAGAAATTTTATTGGATAACTGTAATTACAAGCTAAGGTTCTAATGTAAACATATATAAAACATACTTTTAAGCATTAAAAATGATGACAAATCGCTCCCAAAACTGTCCAGTTTATTTTCTTAGCAACGATGCACCCGTATTTTCTTGTATTACATGAGAATTTGCACTATAAATCTTCCACATTAAGAATGAAGCATCCCCAGAAAGGTTGAGCTTCTTTCCATATAATTTTATTTCCTTCTGTTCCTCCATCTTATGAAAACTTAACATCAGCGATTTCTAATAGGACCTACAAAATAATAATTTTTAAGATTTAGACAAGATTTACATTTGAAAAAACAAAACAATTACAAGCCATAAAACAGTTAGATAGGTACTTACATAATAATTTTCCATTTCACACAACGCGATATGATCATGTATCCCACAAAACATGTGCATATACTGTCCATTTTCATCAAACTAGACGTGTGTAAGTCGATGCACAGCGGACTGTCGGAAATTTTACGATTGTTGTATTTTCTCTTCTTGAGTAAAGATAATAAAGACGTTGTGGTTTTGTGTGTTTATTTTGACAATGATTGAACATGTATGGACAATAAAAGTGGACTGTATAAGATAGTTGAGTACCGTTCTGCTTCATGCATAGCATGCTACTGAAATCTAGAAGGGAGAGGGATGAGCTCGTGCGCAAACCCTAAATCAGCGGCTGGAATAGCCAGGTTTCTTATTGAGTCGGCGCACTTCGCTCTCGGGTCTGACATATGATTATTATTACAAGACTATGAATATAACTTAACAACGATCATAACCGATTATGCACCGAGAGGTGACGATCACTTAACCATTATAAGATGCGTTTTACACGTTAAAAACGGAAACATATTCAGTATAAGAACGAATAATTCTGTTAATACAATTGTTATATACAAATTCGGATGCTGGTCTTTATACAACAAATCTTCCCTACTATAGAATTCGAACATAAAGTCTATAACACCTAATAATGTATAAGTAATTCATTATAACCTTTATTTCATAGATGCATAAGGTGTATTAAGCACCTTCCAGTTAAACTGATTGAATAATGAGTATGGAGATGATTGCTTTTTTTTAATAAAAGTGGTAGGTATATTTTATAAAAGTTTTAATATGTGCTATACATATTATTCTAGATAAACAGTTTAATAAACCCATTTCATTCAGTGTATTATTTATAATAAATGAATGTGCAAATAGTAATAAATGCCTGGGTCCGTTCCTGGTTATTAAACTACAAAGGCACAGGGTCAACGTTCGGTCACATTCCTTGATGAGTCCGCAGAAATCCTATAGCGAAGTCCCCTTAGATTTGGACAACTGACCTCTTCGGATTTTGGCGATATTTGGATTGTAGTCGCTTGAAACGGGTGATGGACTTGTGATATAATGTGGTGCTGTAAGTTTGTATTGCGGTTCCTAGATTGAAATACCGCATTTTGTTATTTTCGGAAATTTGAAACAGAAGTGAATTTTCTATTTTTGCAGGGCGTAGTTACCGGCTACTCTAGCGGTGTCCTCTGCTGCTGTTCTGCTCTTTACGGGCGACTGGAAGTTTCGTAAAGAACTACGGTGGAAATTTTCGAAGCAGTCAAAAATATTTTTTCCAAGACGGGCTTTCAACTTCTCGTGGATGGTAATCTCGATCCCTTGAGAGATGGGTTCCTACTTTGGCCCCAAGCAGAGTTAATGGAGACGGCTCATGTCGCATTGGCCATAGGATTGGCCAAAAAGGTTTTAAATTATATCGAACAACAGAATAACATTTTTGTTATTAACATTTCCGATTTAAAAACTCACTTAAGTAAAAAATTTGTAGAAAGAAAGGCGTATTAATTAAGTTGTTGGGATCAATTCCATTGGAAATATACCAACTCAAATAGCTTCCTACTTGTAATTACTAGATACTAAAACCTAGACAGGGCACTGTTTTATCCAGACATTGGCATAAATCTTTTGTATGTATTTATAAAAAAAAAACATTACTTGCCATCCGAATTATCGACATGCGGGATATTAATCGTAATCCACGCGCGCTTTAAAGAGACATAAAAAATTTGTAAGTGCATATTTACCGCGTTTTTGTTTGAAAAATGTCCTGGTGAAATAAAATTTATATGCCATTCATAATTCAGTTTTATCGCTATTTTTATTAATATTACTCAATAAAAGTCCCTATAAAGCGGATTTTATGGGTTATTTTCCAGTTGTGTATAGAAATAAATAAATTAAATATACGGGACGGGGCAGATCAACGCAGTGGCGTAGGGACTTTTAGAAATGTTATTACGCGGAAGTTATAGAAACAACAGCAATAAAAATAAGACTAATTAGATTTTTGAGAGTTTAGTGACTGAAAGTTATGAATCATTTATTATTGGGCCAGAAATAATGCAGGTTTTTTTCCCTTGACGTTTTATGGAGCTGTACATCTGCAAAATAAAACTAATTTTCAAGCATTTCTCTAGCATTTGTTTTCTAGAAATGTTTTGAAATTAAATATATTGCTTTTTTACTTGTTTACGACTCTTTGCGTTGCGAAAATTACATTTTGCTTTAACATGAAAGCAAAAATTTAACAGAAAGCTTCAATTAAACTTTAGCCAGAGGTGGAAATAAAATCTAAGGCAAAGCGAGGAAAAAGTCGGTGGCCTACATTTATTTAATGGAACAGAAGAAAACGCATCTGGGCATAACCGAATTATCGAAGGCTGAAAGAATGTGGTAAATCTTTCACGGGCTATTAATTGTGATTAAAGGGACTACCACTTGTTTATTGCGCCCGAATTTTCTGTTTTTTTATGAGAAGTTTTAAGCGTCTTCGGTAATTTAATTGTTTCACGTTACAATTAGATTTATATCTTCATGGAATCTACCATTAATGATTCAATTTCTATAAGACTACTATTCTAATTAATAAATTAACACTGACAAAGAAATAAACTGAATATAAACGAAATTGATATGAAATGATTAAAAAGAGTGAGAAAAATTCACTCATGTTTCGAAAAAAATTCGTTAACCTTTCAAAGAGCTCCATACAAGGCGCAGTTTCCACCAAAACAATCATAGAATCATAGATGTGTTCTGAAAGTTCAAATTTTCTGATCCTGGCGCGGACCTCAACACTGAACCCCCTGCGGAACCAGCGTCGAGAGTGATCGAACGTCAACCCGGGTACTATATATTTCAGTAAACAGTGTCGAATATTGTTAATTAATAGCAAAATTACAATACATCACACAAATTTTCAAAAATTCGCAACTAAGTCAAATTGCTTATTTTCACTGACACACACTTCCTTGTGGGACACTGTTAATTACGCTTGTGCAATTCTCGTTTATCAAGGTTGCACTTCGACGGGCAAGCATAAATATCGACCTCGCGTCCTTTCCAAAAAAACCCAGAAAGCGTGCACTGTCACAACAAACGGCGATTAATTTTCGCGACCTTGGGCGCATTTGTCCGCTCCTCACGTACCCAGTTGCATTCTTGGCAATGCCGTCCAGAAAATTCTTAGCCGCCTCTCTCTCGCGCAGTTAATTGTGTATTATTCTAAGAGCCCATTGTGCAACGAGATGTATCGTTTTTGTCCGGTTTCCAATTAAAACTGACGTTTTTAAATTAAATTTATTTGTTTTGGTGCGAGGATGTTTGGCTCTTCGGGGGTTCTTAATTAAAAACTAACTATTGGCCGGGGAGGCACGTTCGATGCCGACTGAAATAAAATCCTAAGAGAGGCGTTTTCGAATTTCATTCGGGCGAACTTTGAAGTGGAGTTCGCCGCATCGATATTTGTCGTAAAAATAATATGGACGCTGATCCGAAGGCTCTCTACCAAAGGTCTAAACGTTCTATAAAAATTGGGAAGAGAAACTTTATAAAAATAACTTTTATTGTAATCCACAATATAAAGTTTTCTAGCCAGTTTGCTTAGCAATATAAATGGTATTGCATATTTAATAAAAAATAATAAACAAATCATCATACAAAATACATATTTTGAATAAGTTCAGGATGACCAAGAGCAGTCGCTCTAGAATCAGAAGATATAGAAGCATCAAATATATGCTAAGATAATTCAGAGTCAGTCAAAGACTGAATATCTTCTTTTGAGAGAATCTGCAAAGTGATGTTATTTTGTACTGCTTCCACTTTTTTAATTTGCTCTTATGTCGAAATTGATTAAAACTCAA